CAAAAGAGACCTTTCACAGTGTGTGATGTGTCACCAGAGGAAGCTGTGCCAACTGGGACTGGGCAGTCAAGCAAACCTCTCTGAGCAGCTCATGTTTAAGCTGAAGCCCTAGCAGCCACGTGTGGATCTGGGGGAAGTGTGCTCCTGGGAGGGGGGAAGGGGAGTGCAGAAAGGGGTTTAGCCCAGCAGAGGCGCAGCAGGAAGCTCAGCAAGGCTGGAGCAGAGTGAGCAAGGGAGAGGGGCATCTGAGCAAGGGACAGGGAGGGCAGGGTCATGGGGAGCTGTGGCAGGGGTGAAGTGTGAGTGACAGGCAGTCTTTGGAGGGTTGAAAGTGGCCACTTGGGTGCAGGACACAGGATGGGCTTCAGAGGGCTAAAGACGTAGGAGAGCCTATGGACCTGAAGGAGCCCAGGGCAGAAGCGCTGCATCCTGAGCTGGTACAGTTGGTGGCGTTGAAGGGAGTGGCATGTTGGAGCCATACTGACTGCAGAGCAGAGAACCACTCCTCGGGACTCCCTAGAGACCGCTGCAAAGGACCCTGGCTTGATGATGCCACCGAGTGGGGTTCCCAGGGGAGGAGGTGGATCACAGCCAGGCTGCACCTCCCAGAAAAGAACATTCCCAGACGAGCCACTCTCTCATCCTGGCCTTCACCTGGTGGAGGGACTGGGTCACGGACCCTGAGGGGCTGCCCGTGGCTGGACTTCTTTCCCTACATGTGTTCTGCCTGTACAAACTCATCAGTGCAGAGCTTGGGAAGTGAGAAGTGTCGGAAGGTTTGGAAAAAGGAAATGTGTTGAATGAGGCCAGGACATGTGTGCTGTGGGACCCAGAGTCCTGTGTCATGGTGGGCCTGGGCCGTGACAGCCCCAGCCCTGGGAGAGTTATCCAGGTAACTTCAGGTCCTGATCTGGAGGGGACCACTCACCTGCAGCAAAGTTCAGATGAAAAAGGTCCAGAAGAATCCTGTGCCCACAAGGGCACCTTCAGTGACAGCATTGGCTTTTCCCATCTCCCCCCAGAGCCACAGAAGAACCCACAAGACCAGCCGGCCATTTTCTTCTCCTTCCCGCCTTCTTCCAGCCCCAGCAGTGTCCTGCTGCCTGGGACAGGACGCCTCCCTGAGGTGGCCCTCGAGGTTAGCCTGGCCTCAGCTTGTTCTTTGTCTTCTTCCTCTGTTCCCCATTGCTTCTAACAATGTCACAAGGTCCCCAAACCCCACACCAGTTCCTTTGGCCTCTGGCTGGCCTGGGCTCAGCAGGAAGGCTGCCCAGAACTCACAGCGTCAGATCGCCACTCCTGGGGGCCATCCTCTTGTGGATTTTCACATTTTTTATCTTCAGAGCATGACCCTTTTCACGTTGTCACTTCCTGAGTCTTTATTTGTCCAGAAAGGGAGACTCTGGACTTGGGGCCAGAGCAGCTTCTAGGAAAGTTCACTCTCCAAGGCTAGGCTCTGCTTCCTGAATTGAGGACATGAGGGATGTGGAAGGGTGTTGTGAGGACGCGAGGACCCACTGTACGTGCCACCAGGTGCTTCACTGGTAACTCTTGGCGCCCAGGGTTAAAGTGGGGATGCTCTGCCCTCTGTGGATCCATCTCAGTGGATTCTCAGAAGTACACACGGGCTTCTGAGTGAGCTGTTGAGAAGGACTGTGGTCAGTGAAAGGTGCCCAGATACCCTTAGGTCCCCTGCTGCACAGAGGCTGGATGGGTGTCTGTGGGCAGGACTGAGCCCAGAGGCCCACAGCCTCCCCCGAGCTGCATGACCAGCTCTCGAGGAAATGCTTTTGGAGATGGCTCACCTGGAGACTCAGAAAGGCTTCCGTGGGCCCTGGTAGACTTAGCCGCCCTGGCCCGGCCTAGGAGGTTTGGAGCAAGTGACTTTGGCATGCACAGAACCACTTTGTGAGGAGCCAGCAAGGACGAGCTGAATCTGCCAGTGGAATTTATCCACAAGGGACTAGAACAGAGGCTGGACCGTGGGTCATCTTCACTGGACGGCTGAAGGCTCCGTGAGGTCTCTTTGGGGAAGGTGTGGGGATGAAAGGAGAGCAGGTGACTCCTCTTCTGCTACCCAGAGAGGCCACATTCAGTGGGCCAGGGCCTCTCTTGTCTTGCTGTACCTCAGCCATGACATGAGTGGTGCTGGGTTTTGGCCACCACATGCCCCAAACTGGGCCAAGCACGGGGGACAGGGATGCCCTGCAGCGTGTGGCCCCTGCTCTCAGACCTGCTCATGGCCAGGACCTGTTCACTCAAGAATGCTGGTGGTTGGCGGGAGTTGGCCCCGGGGATTCCCTTCCTCTGCACACCTTCCCTGCGGTCCAAGATGGCCAGAGCTGTGGCTTCTGTTCTCAAGTTTCTCCCTTGGCTTCTTGGTCTTGAGTTTAATGTCTATTACATGAAGAAACTCGGATGTCACAGAATAGAAGCGCTGCCTGGGATCATAAAGAACGAGTGTCCAACCTCTCTTGCTTCCTCTCCTACCAGTGCTCTTGCCTGCGTCATGGCACCCCTGACCAGGTGAGCCTTCCCCTCTTCACTGGTTCCCCAGACCTGGTGAGCAGGCTGGAAGGTGAGCTCAGGCCAGGGCGTGGAGGAACTCTACTGGGAGTGTGTGGAGTGTGGGCAGTGGGGAACTGTTGACTGATAAAAGCCGTGACACCATGGCTCGTGTATTTGTTCATTCCATCCACTTAACAATGACTTGCTGAGCATGTACACTGTGCCAGGCCTGCACAGGCTCTGGGGATATCGTGTTGAACAAAACAAGTTCCTCACTCACATGGTAATGCACATGATAAATAAGTAAGTCTCGTGGAAGTCCATCAAATAAATAGGACTTTATATTGGGGCGGGGAAAAATAAACAGGATGATGAGATTGGGAGCGTAAGGAGGAATGTTCTTCAGAGAGAGTGGTTTGGGCGTTTCTCTAAGGAAGTAACCTTCCAGATGGGTCCTGGAAGATGAAACGGAGCTAGTCTTTTGAAGCAGGGGAGAGAGCATTCCCGGTGGAGGTGGCGAGGCAGTGAGTACAAAGGCCCTGCGGCTGGAAAGACGTTGGAGGGCCTTGGTACTGGTGGAAGGTTGGTGCATGCAGAGTGATGGGAAGTGACAGGTGATCAGGAGTCAGAGGCTGACAGGTGCCTCAAGCTCAGAGAGAGCCGTGGGTGAGGACTGATGGTGCTGAGGACTTTGTTGGTGCAGAGATGGAGAGAAATGTGTGAACACATTCAGAGATAGACCGCCAGTGAATTCAACAGGGTGCAGACGGGGCAGCACTGGGGAGAGGGAGCAGCAGGGACGTCTCCCATGTTTCTGGCTGGAGCTGTTCCTTAGGGGATGGAGAAGCCTGGGAAGGTGGAACCAGGTTTAAGGGTAAAACAAGAACAGATTGGCTTTCCAGAAGCACTGAGAAGAAGCACAGGGCAGGGAGCCTTCATCTTAGAGAATGGTCCAGGATTCCATGTGAGAGATGATGAGGACCCAGCTGGTGGCAGGGTGGCAGGGAAAATGATGTCCCTTGCTAAACAAGCCAAGAGAAGAACTTTCTGCCCTCCAAATGCTCTGGAGCTCTGTCTGCAAGACTGCCAAGCAGGCCAAACCAGAGGGGGGGAATTCTTTTTGGAAAGTTCATGTGAAGCCACCATATGGAAGGGAACAGAGGCGGATGATACAGAAAGCGGGGTCGGGAGAGAGACCAGGTGGAGGCTGCGGCAGTGCGGCCTCTCCTGCAGCTGACTGCTGGACCTGAGAAAGGGGCTCTGGGTGCCATCTGTGCGGGGAGAACACCATCCTGTGGAACAGGTGGCCTTGCAGCCACTTTCATGGCCCCTGACTGACCAAGGCTTCCCTGGGGCTCTGCAGCCATGAGGACCTTCCCAGGAGGTTTAGGATGGAGCATTCAGAGAGGCTGCAGGCGCAGCAGGCTCTGGGATTCCTGCCCTCAACTCCTCCATGGCTTCCCCCTGGAGCGGGGGCCAGGCTGAGTCGAGGTCTTTTCTCCTTGGTCTCACTGTCCCCTAGCTGTGTCCCTGCCAGCCTCTGAAGTCAGCAAGGGGCAGGCGCTGGTGAGCACTGGCTGCTGGGTCAACCCTGTCAGGACATTCACCCATTCACACTGACACCCATTGGACCAGTCCTCACTGAGCACCCACAACTGTAGACACTGTCCCAGGTGCTGGGGGCCAAAGGGAGGGTGAGACCCAGTCTCCACCCTCAAGAAGAGGCAAATGGAGAACTGGACAATGCTGGCCATGTGTCCTCTTAGTCCCTGCTTCCTCATCCTGCTCCCACTTCTGCTCCTGGTGCCCAGAGCTGTTCCAGAATCATCTCTCAGGTCCTCCACTCCCTCCAGCCCCTGCATTTCACACCATTGATTTTGATTGAAGCCTGTTTCTTGAATTGTAAGAGATTAAAATGTAGGCAGAGATTAGGTGATAAAGGACACTGAATAACATTTTTCTGAATTTAGCCTTTATTCCAAGGGCATGAAGAAGCCATTGAAGTGTCTCAGGCAAGGGAATTAGATTCCATTTGGGAGACACCTACAACAATGGGGAAGAAGGATGGAGGAAGGAGAGGATGGCCAGGCTGGTGCAGGGGATCCAGGGAGGCCTTTGGAATAACCCAGAGGGGATGAGCAGGCGCCTCACCCACCACCATGCCCTGCCCCCAGCCCCTTCACATCACACCTGCTCCCAGAGCAGAGCTGATGAGTCTTCTGACCTGTGGCAGGCTTGTCCCAGTAGAGGTGTCACGTACACAGATGGAGTTTAACCCCATTCACGGGGCATCTTCCATTTCTCAGACACTTTCCTGGGTAATTAATCCCTTCCAAGCTGTGTTGTCAGGAAACATTAAAGGTGATCTTTCTTTTTTAGAGAGGAAGCAACTGAGACAGCTCTAAACAAACCTCACCTTGAATCCTGGCTCCACCACCTGTGCGAGGGGTAGAAAGTGCTCCTGTTGGGGGAGTACTCCTTGTTCAAAGGAGCTGTGGTTGACCTGCCCTGATATGGAGCTCACCAGCCTGCAGTAGAAGCAGTGAGGAAACAGTGGCGCTGGCTCCAGAAACAGGGCAGCTGCAGCATACTGAAGGGGCTCGCTGGGCCTCCCTGGCTCTGCCCCTCTCATCCCTGCCCTGGGAGGGGGAAGTTCTGCAGGCCGAGGGGCCTGGGTCTGAGGGCTTCTGTACAGGGAGCATCTCCCTTGTGGGGGTTCTCAGAGAGGTCTGCCCCCACCGCACCCTGCCCACTCCTTCCTGGGCTTTGTTTTCCTTACTAGGCCAGGGTGGGTAGGAGGATAAGGAGAACAACTGCGCCATCTGCTGGACAAGATGGGCAAGCTCCAGCTGCACCCCTGTGAGGAGAAGGCAGAAATTTCCTTCAGGTATGAATTCTGGGCACAAGGAGAATTTGAGTCCCCAAAGAGGGTATGACACCTTGACAGGTGACCTCTTTTATAGAACTAACTCCAGGGACAGAATCCAAGTTCGACTACCAGCAGGCAACTCAGCCCTAATAGGAGCTGCCTGATTCCTGTGTGCTCAGGTATTGGGGATACCCTGGTGGAGAGTGTGGGGGAGGCAAGTGTACAAAGCAGTGTGGGTCCAGGCAGAGAGGACAGGCCAGTTGGGTTGACTTCCAAGGCCCCTGTTCGGTGCTGCTCCTGAATCCAGAAGGACACACTGGAGTCACACCAGGGTAAAGGAAAAGAGACAGGGCACAGAGGGGCAAAGGCCTGGCCACTTGGGCTTCCATCTCGGCTCAGGTCCAGAAAAGCTCCCTTTTCTTTTTCCTGTAGCAACTGGGGAGAGCCCAGGACCTCTCTCCACCCAGCCCTTCAGAAATTCTGGTCACTGAATTCCAATGGTGGCAGGAGCCAGGGTGCTAATAATGTCTGTCCCTCCACCAGCATCCTGGCAGTGGGCTTCCCCCACCCACATCTAGGGCTCCATCTTTTCCTCTTCATACCTTAGTGGAACGTGTGCTTGGAAGACTGTGCTAGGAACAGCGATCCCCCCACCCACAGGCTTGGTCGATGAAGGCCAGAAAGCATGGTGGCAAAATTCAAGAATGGTTTCATTGGAGAATTAGGTCTGCTGAGGCAGGAGTAGCCATGTAAGTGAACATTAATTCTATTAATCTTCCTTTCTAACCCATTCAATATAATTCGACCACGGCTCACTGACACAGTTCAAACCTCCTTATGAGTTTGTGGAAGAAGATGAGATACAAATGGATAGTTGTTGGGCAGTCGAGTGTGTGCCAGGCACTGTGGTGGCTCCATGGAGACCAAGTTAATGAGACATGGTCTCCAGCTTCAAGGAGCACCCACATCTCCACCCCCATCTCATGCATAGTGCCTTTCTGTTCTCTTTTCTTCCCCCATAAAACCTGCTCCCAGGAAAGAAATTAAGCTGCACTGAGCCGTAGTCAACTGAGTAGGTGTTGATGACAGTGCCTGTCAACTGTCTCTCACTCTCCATTCTCTCTATTTAGTAACAAACCCCACCCACTCTCTAACCTCCCCCTACCCCCTTGAGAGTTAGCTAGACCCAGGACTGCCCAGCCATAGACCATATTTCCCAGCCTACCTTGCAGCTAAGTATTGGCCACATGATTGTGGCCAAAGGGATATGAGCAGAGATAAAGTGGTGACTTCTGGGGCTCACCCTCTTCTCCTTTCCCATGGCTGGGATATACATTTGGAGTGTAGCGATGAGCAGGCCTTGCTCACGGCAAAGAAGGCAATGCTTGGTGGTTGCTGCAGCGGCAAGAGAGAAGGACCTCAAGTCTTTAGATCATTTCCTGGAGAAGGATCACCTGTCCTCTCAAGTCTTCTAGTGGTTCAGACTTTTGCATGAGATAAACTTTAGATTCTTTAATCCATGGAACTTGGGCTTTTGTTAAAGCAGCCAAATCAATACCTAATATAGTGATTCTCACTCACTGAAGTTGAATAAGCAGATAAGCAAAATACCTTGAATAGGAGCTTTATAAGAGTTCCTGAAATCTGAGCTGGGCATGAGGGCACATATCTGTAATCCCAGCAGCTTTGCAGGCTGAGGCCAGCCTCAGCAGTGGCAAGACACTAAGCAAGATGTGTGTCTGAGGTCACGTGGCTATTGCAGCACTGATACCAACAGCCAAGAAAATTCCATTCTTCAGCCAGTGGGACTACATAGTTTTTTGCAAATCAATAAGATACATCACTTAGTGGTTATCTCATCTCTACTTACAGATGAGATGTAAAAGCCCATCTGAGCCTTTCCCAAGAGTCCAGGACCAATTGAAACCCAGACTTTCAAACATGCTTTTAAGAGCTCTTGACATTTCCTCGAAGACAGAATGGTTCTGTCTCCTTGGAAATTATGGTCCTCAGGAACCAACCAGGGAATACTATCAACATTTTTTTTTCTTTACAGAGTAGTTGTAAAAAGGACAATTAAGCCGCAGAAATGTGAGCGCCAAAGTAAGAAGGAAGCTCTGTAAAGGGTCAACTTCACGCAAGAAAGAGAATGTGGAAATGTCATGATTTAGAAGGCAACAGT